TTAGGTATGTTTGGTATTATATTTTTTTCTGCATAGGCCACCAAGAGTTGTTTTGTGACAACATATAAATATGTTGGATAAATAAATATACAATTTCAGACTTGTACTGCACTGTTACAGAGAGGAAATATGAAAAGATTCTTATTTGCAACAATGTTCCATCTTTTCTACACCATAAGGAATTTCCATATCTTAAAAAATGCATCTCTACTAGCCATATCCAATTGTGAATCATGGGGACATGTCTTTCAGACACGCATTCAAATACTCTTCAGAGATAAATGCCAAGCCCACAGTAAAAGTGTGGGGATCTATCTTTGATGTAATTCATATACGAGACATTTCAAGCTTTAAAAATATCACTTTCTCACCAGATTGCTCAATCTTGGTATTGAGTTTAGAATTCTAAACGTACATATCTTCAAGAGGATTTAATTTAGCTCTGTTTTCATCCCATGCTGATGCTGGCAGTAAACCATAATGCCTTTAATCAGGCTGCCCACAAAGGTATCCTTGCTGCACCAGAGTCCAAGGTATGTAATTGCTAGTGGATTCTGCATAAAACTATTATATGTAGTCAAGGAAACAGATTTTGAATTTAGCTAATGCTTATTCTCTGTAATCATTTGCCAGTTTTGAGCAGACACCCACAGTATCTAATTGTTTCATCAGGGTGAGAGAACACATGGGTTCAGTACATGGTTGTTGCAAGGAAACCTCTGACAGTTTGCATGTTACATCAGATGTACAAAAGGGGTGGAACTTGCAAGGTGAGGCTGCAAATCTTGATTAGTCATTTGCTCCCCTTGCAGATGCTCATATATTCAACCAATTCTCCCTTAGAGCAGGGCTTTTCAACCAGTGGTACGGGTACCACTTGTGGTACATTGGCACCTGGCAGGTGGTATGCGACCATCCCAGAAAAGTGGTAGTGGGGGAGGGGAATGAGCTCAACCGGTGGCAGCACCGCACAATCCTGAGCGAGAGATGGCTGGAGCTGCAGGGCTGTCAGGGCTCAGCAGAAGCGCCAGGATCAGCGCTTCTTCGGGACTGTCAGGGCTCAGTGGAAGTATCAGGATCAGCGCCAGGCTACAGCTGGAGCTCGGCGCTGATCCTGGCGCTTCTGCTGAGCCCAGAAGAAGCGCTGATCAGCTGGAATGTTGCAGCATCTCCAGGGTCTTCTGATTTACATTACATTGGCAACTGATTCATATTTATGACGGTCACAGTGTCCCAGGGTCATGTGAAGTGACAAAAACCTGCTGGAACCACCCAGCAGATAGGGGGAATAAAAACCAAACACCCCCCACCCCACCCCTGCTGCCAATTCTCAACAGAAATGCTCAAACAATGAAAACCTCGGACAGGAGGAAGAGCGCCACTGGGTGGACAGGCAAGTGTCTTGCTTGGCTGTGGCTTGGGGGGGCACTTTTTTCAGTGCCATTGTAACTTCGAACAGTCACTAAGTGAACTGTTGTAAGTCAAGGACCAGCTGTACTTCATCACTTTTTTCTTCTTTTTTTTTTGGTCATCAGGTTTTTGTAAGATGACCAACTTTTTTACAATGAAAAGGAGGACACAAATAAATTGAAGAAAAAATATCATAAATAAAAGAAACATTGTATTCATTGCAACAATAATACAGAATACACTATAATATGATAAATGCATAATAAAAACATTTGTAACAATAACATTTTATATTGTAATTATGCTTATATGCCTATTAATTATTATTTAAATGAGTACTTTTCCACTGAATGAATATTTTTGTCAATGTATCATCTTCTAACAATATATTGGAAATATCTGAACAAGAAATATCCTTCATATTGAATTTTACGGCAATTTTACGGTTGATACTCTAGCTTAGCAAGTGCTACAGCTAGAGTATCAACATTCAATCTCAATTTCTCACTTTTCCAAAAGATCATTAGCAATTGAAAAAACCTTTTCAACTGCTGCATTAGTTCCAGGACAGCACAACGTAAATTGAACAAGAATAAATACATTTTCACATGGAATATGTTCATTTTTGAAATGACTGAATATTTCCACCCATCTTTTATCAATTCCAACATGTTTATTTTCCCATTGTATTAATTTTTCAGAACTTAAAAATACATTCAGTCTTCTAATTTCTTCAAAGAGACAATTGTCATCTATTTTAATGTCTGGCATTTCTTTAGATAAACACTCAACACAAGATTCAATATCTGTCCAATATACTTGCGATGAAGCCAAAAAACACCATTGAAAACTGTTATTTCCTGTGATGTTTGTTTCAGACCATTCTTTGATATATTGAAAACATGTTTGGTAAAAATTCTGCACTTCTTTTCCGTTATGCCCGGATTTGATTCCTCTAAGTCTGACAATTTTCTTTTTATAACTAAAGGAAGAAATTTTTCTTCAAATCGAGTTTTATATTGAAGGATAAAGTCATTCAAAATAAGACTAACTTCTGTAGCTGAAATGTGTTCACCTTCAATCTTTTGAATCGATTTGTGAAAAATAGATGCTTGATTATGTACAAAATACATTAATATCTCAGATATTTCATTATTGAAAAACGATTCCAGGATTTTAGGACATTTGCCTAACCTTAAAAAATATGAACGGAGAGGCTCAAATAATTGTAGAACATGCTCTATAGCAGGTGTTAGAGCAAGCCATCTAACTTTTGAATATCCTAAAAGTTTTTGTATTGACCATTCGCTTCTTCACAAAATTGTTTTAAAGTAGCCACACGAATGGTAAAACGACTAAAATACAAATAAATTGTAGTTATTATTACTTTTACATCAATTGGCATGGCACATGACGCCATGTTGATTGCCTTTGACAAAATATGTGCATTACAACCTATTCCTAGTATTTTCTTTTGGAGTAAATCTTGTAATTTTACATACACATTATTCACCCCTTTACGTCTTCGCCCACCAAAATTTGTGTTTATATTATCAGCTATTAGTGCAACAACTTTGGATTTCGAATTGTTTTCATTTATTACTCTGTATAGATGGTTTGACAAAATTTCAGCATTTTCGCCCTCAATGGATTCTAAATTTAAAATTTTTACTTGAATGCCCTTGGTAACATTAAAATAACTTACTAATATTGGATATAATTTAGTTTCATTATGATTGGATGCATCAGATAAAACCGTTACAAATGCTGCAGTTTCCAAGTCTTCTGTAAGTATTTTGTCACAGTGATTTTTAAATACTGATTTAATAATACCCTCGCATTTTGTCCTGGCGCATGAAAATTTAGCATTGTGAAACTTTTTCAATCATTTAGTTGTGCAATCCATACTATGAAAACTTTGATTGTGAATTATGGTATGGTATGGAATGCAAATATTCCCACCATTGCAACTAACTGTTTTTCACCTTCAGAATACTTTGAAGTTTTAAAAAACCTTGTTACTTTACAACTGGAAGCAGATGCATCTGATGATTGCTTATGTTTCTTGGTGGTCAAGTGTTTCGTAATAGCTGCTCTGCCCCAAACTGCAATACAAAATTCTCCGCTGCAAATACTGCAGAAAACAATGTTATCCTTCTTTGATGTGATGAATGGAAATTCCTTATTCAATTTATCGATGAAATGGCATTTCCTCTTTTTTTATTTTTCCATCCCTAGTCTCCTCCAAGTATCTTCAGAACTAACTAGGACAGCGGTTCTCAACCTATGGGTCGCGACCCCATTTGGGGTCGATCGACCATTTTACCGGGGTCGCCAAACAAGGCGATCCGCCATTTTCCCCCCTCAGGAGCGGCGCCGCGCATGCGTGCCGCGCAAGGGGGCGCCACCGCGCATGCGTGCCGCCCCCATGCGCGGCACATTTGTGTGATGGGGGTTGCCATCACACAAACGTTGAGAAACGCTGAACTAGGAGATGGTGTAATTGGGTAGCAGGGAGTGGTGCAAAGTTCCTGCCAATTCACCTTTGCTGCAGACAACTTGCATGTGCAAAGTTTGCCGTCCGGGTGTTTTGGCACGCTCAGCAGCAATTCCTATTGGCTTTCGAAAGGCAATAAGGGGAGTAGCACAGCTTATGCAAAAGTTGAAAAAAAAAAACTAACAAAAAAAGGTGCCGGAACGCAGTTCTGAGCGTTCTATGAGAAACAGATTAGTTAGTCTTCAAATATCGAAAAGGAGGACATGTAGGATGACACTTTTTGAGGGAGGACAGAACTTACAAAAGGAGGACTGATTGGTCACCTTAGTTTCTGACACCTTGCTAGGCGACTGGTGGTACTCAGATATTGCCATATCCTAAAAGGGGTGCAACGGGTGAAAAGATTGAAAAGCCCTCCCTTAGACAACCAAGGATTACAAATGTATTGTGCATAGCTGAGTGGGTCTTAACCCCAAATATCATAGGCACAGATGTCTTAATCTGTGACAATGGAAACAATGTGCTATTGCCATATCCTCAATATTATTTAAATTTAAATATTATGTTGATAACATAGTTGTATTACATTGATGGAAGATTTACGTATAAACTCTCAGCATGAATTTGAATTAGGTCAAGGAAAATTTTACAGGTACTACGCATTTCCAACTGGCTTCCTAAGTTTTCCCAGTATGAATCTGGTTGTTTTTCCCTATACCAGGAAAAACAGCGGCCACTATTTTTTATACGATGCTTATGATTTTCTTTGTTACAACTTTGTTCAGCTCATTGACGCCTTAAACTCTGTTGAATAGAAACCTGGGCTAGACCGGCTTACAACCGCAGGCTTAAACTACAATTGTATCTTCTCATAGTTTCGTAAGAAGAGTCTCACTATTGGTTGATCCCTTCCCCTTGTCCCTTTTACTGGTAATTCAGTACAGGCTGCATCAACCCATTGAGGCCAACTCCTTCCCGTAGCTCACTGCGCACGCGTCCTGCTCAATCAACACTCCTGCCTCCTCGATGCGTGCGCACCTAAGCTGTTCTGCCTCCCTGCCTGTTGCTGATTTGGCCGGCGCTGACGTAGTGCCTTCCTTCCCCCCCCCCCCCACCGGCCGCCGCCGCCGCCGCTTTGACGCTCTCTGCCGCCTCACCGGGAAAACTGCCGCCGGCCATGGCAGGCGTTTGGCTGTAAGCAGGCGGTCTCCACGGAGGGCATTAGGCATGGCCGGGCGGCGCGGCGCGGGGGGCGGCGGGGCGTTGGCGATGGGTCCCTGGGGGGAAATGCTGCAGCAGTCGCCGTCGTGCTGCGTTGGGGGAGCCGCGTCGGAGCCCGCCCGCGAGCTTTTCGAGGCTTGCCGGAATGGCGACGTGGAGCGCGTGAAGCGGCTGGTGAGGCCTGAGAACGTCAACGGCAGAGACACGGCCGGCAGGAAGTCCAGCCCCCTCCATTTCGCCGCAGGTAACGAGCCCTGTTGCCGCCGCGCCCCCTGCCTCGGGCTGTTCCCCTTCAGGGGCGCCTGATTGACACTGTGGTAACCTTCTTCTCCCCACTCCACCCCCAAAAGCAGGTATGGTGGTTGTACGTCTCCACCTCTGACTTTGGGCTGATACTGGGCAAATACTCGACTCGACGGAGCTGGAGAAAAGCCCCTGGGAACGGTTAGGCTGGGCGTTTTATTTATTTGGCGTTATGGCATGTCTGGGCGTATCAATAATAAAAAGAGGGCCAAGGGCGGCCGTAGGAACATAATGGGAGCGGAAACTGGCTATTAGCGTGACTAATCTTCATTGAAATGAATGCTGAGGGTACCCGCACTGCAACGAAGGCTCAGAATGGATTTGGGAAGGAAAGGACTAAAATATATTTTTTAAAAAATGAAACAAAATTAACGGGAGGGTTGTCTTTATAATGCGGGGCTAAAATTAAAAAGTTTTAAAAAGCCACCCAGAATGAACACCTCCAAAATAAAATGGTGCTGGAAGGAATAAAGAGAGTGAGACTGACCCTTGAAACAAGAGGACAGTCGGGAAGTGGAATGAATGGTTCCTTTTATGGCTACTATAACATCTTCTATATCTATCTTATTATCCCTTCCCTGTCATACATCTGGGATGGATGGAAAGAGAGTTTGAGGATTGCGCTTATGAGGCTGCTTCCTCCCACCAGAAGGGAGAAGGACATGCATGGATGATGCACACACACATAGCCTAAAAATAAGCCATGCATGGCTATGCCACCTCCAAATACCTGTTTGCATTTCACAGTCAGTGGAAAACAGGCAGAAATGCAGGTCATCTGGTTGATGTCACAGATCAATCCTCAATAATTTCCCACTGTTGTTTCCAACAGATGTTAAAAGCAAAGGAGAAAATGATAGGATTAGAAGGCTTCTGTGAAAACTAAATATTCTTATTATTTTCTCAGCTATCTAGAGAGACCTGAAACTACTGAGATATTCTGAGATACTAGCAACTTCCAAAAGGTGCCATGATTTGTGGTATGGTACCAAAAGCTGTATATATATTTAGAAGGACTAATAGATCAATATTCAGGGATATCCAAGAGCTATTTCCCTTCTAAAAATGTAACCTGAAGGGACAATTGCTTATGGCTGGTAATTATCCTTGATTTTTCCAATTTGTTCACTTCTAAATGTAAATATAGATTTTTCACTCCATAATCCCATAGTTTTGTTGGAAATGTTATAGTTCTTATTTGAAGAATGTACCTTTCAGCCTTTATTTTGTTTAGTGCTTCCATATAGGTCAAATATTTCTTCTTATTTCAGGTTTTGGTCGGCGGGATGTAGTAGAATACTTGCTTCAGAGTGGTGCTAATGTACATGCACGAGATGATGGAGGACTCATTCCACTTCATAATGCTTGCTCATTTGGTCATGCTGAAGTTGTCAATCTTCTCCTACGCCATGGTGCAGATCCCAATGCAAGAGATAATTGGAACTATACTCCTCTTCATGAAGCTGCCATCAAAGGCAAAATTGATGTCTGCATAGGTAACACTTTGATATTCTTTTTCCAGTGATTTTTACATAAAAAAATCAAGAATCTTAACATAAACCAGACTTCCAAACTGTCCAAGTCCAACTGACATTCTTAATTTAAAGTACTTTTAAATATAATCAGGTATTTTTGAAAGTCTTCATTTGTTAAAAATGTTGAATTTTATGGGTGTTGCAAAAGAATCCAGTTGGCTGAGGAATTAGTAATATGATCACCTTTAAGAATGGTTTAGGAGTTTATCCTTTAGTGTGTGCCTGGAAGTATAATTAACAGCCCAACATAACCTTATTCCATGTTTCATAAGTATTTTGCAGTAAACTATTATGTTAATTGGAATTTGTCCTGATATAATTTTGATTCTGCAGCTAAGTTCAGAGTTGCAGTTTCCATAAAAAAAATTTTTGCCAGAGGGAAGAGACTGATAGAGATGCAAAATAAACATTTTCTGTTCCAGTTGGGAGAGAGAGACAGAGAAAGATAAACATACAGATAGCAGCAAAGGAAAAGAAATGTTTCCAGTATAGATAGCACTGAAAATGTGGTATAAGATACTTATTCTTGAAATACGTTTTCCAGTCTTGTTCTGCTCCTTTATTATGTTTTTCTTTGGTTCTTGCTTAGTCCTGCTACATAGAAATATTAAAATGTTCTTAGACTTTCAAAACTAATATTAACTTTTGTCACTGAATTTTTAAAATGAATATAATTAGTTGTTGGATTGATTTGTGTATTCAATTTTATTGCTTTAGAATATTGAAGTATTGTGGATTAAAGTATTTTCATGTTATATTTTGAGTGCTTTTAGATAGAAAAGTAGCATCAAAATTTAATAAAAATATATGGGAATTTATATCTTCATTTCTGCAAAGTAGATGTATTTCAAATACATGCTACTACAATTTATCTTTATTAATATAATTCTCAATCTCAACATAAGAGATTAAATTTAATGAAGTTTTGTAAAAGGAATAGTTTCCTTTTGTTTAATTGAATGTCTGGTTATTTGGCACATGAGTAACTCTGCACTTAAATTAGTCACAAGAAATTAATTTCCAGTTCTGTGCATTTCTTTGAAAATTTAGCAGAGTGGCATCAGAATTGGTTAGCTGTTTTTTAAAACAAAGTGAAAAGCTATCTGGAATCTGAAGATCAGGAACTTGAATATTTAAGGAAATTTTACTAATATGGCTTATAGAGACTTTCTGAATTTCATCATCCTTTTCTCTTTGAAAGCAAAGTTAAGTAAAGATGGTTGTTCAACTTGGGCAAACAAATGCAGATGATTTGAATAGGTATCTTTGAGAGTATCTGTTTAGCATAAAGATGAATCAAAGAAGCAGCTTGGAATATTAACGTACATTTTAGCCTGGCTGTATTTGATATGTTCTTGTTCAGATATATCCCATTAGATAAATTAATCACAATAGGCTATTGATTAGACTGAGAGATAGTGTCTGGCTTGTTCCTCCAGGGAGTATTGTGGGTGAAGGTAAATGTGAACCTGAGTAGCCCTGATCCTAGTCTACCTTAGCTACTGCACTGCTCTAACTCCGATAGATTCTGTATCTCAAAAACTATGGGGAAGAGTCATAATTGGTTTTGAGATATTGCATGCCTGCTGGAAGGCTAAACATTCTACCACAGGATTTTAAATATATTCCTGCTCCTTTTTTAGTATTGTTGCAGCATGGTGCTGATCCAAGTATCCGTAATACTGATGGAAGAACAGCACTTGACTTAGCAGATCCATCAGCAAAAGCAGTGCTTACAGGTGGGTGGAATCTTCCATAGTCCATTTCTTTTGGTAATTATGTTTTCTTAGCTTGATGGAATTTGATGGCTGTATATATAATTATTAATATTTACTAAATTTATGTACTGCCTGTTTCCATCAGGATTCTGAACATCCATTTCAAAATAATACATATATCACACATATGGAAAAATAATATAGAATTTTCACAAACTAGTCTTTCTCCAAAGGGGTCTGTCACCCATACTAGCCCACAGCCTGAGGAAGGAGCAAAAGTTTGTTTGAATAAAGTTCTGGGAAGAGTATATGAATCTATTGGGGAATATCATTCCAGGCCTGCTGCTTCCTGTATCTAATCAGATTTCACTATTTAATTGATAAGACCTGGGGCATGCCAGATCATGTAGAACAGACAGAAACTATGGAGGGCAGGCAACCCCTCAGACAGCCAGGCTTATATCAGAAAGGGTTACATTTTTTCGTAAAATATTGTTTCGCAGGTACCAGATCTGGTTAATCTAAGAGTTCTATGCATTTATCTTAGTTATAACGAAGCTAAAGTAGCATGAAATCTAAAGAAAATATCTGGGTTTTGGAATAGAGCTTTATTATTTAAAAAATGAGAATTTTTTAAAATTCCAAATGAAAATGAACAAGGTGTGTTTATGTCCTGCCTTTATTATTTTTATAAATAACTCAAGGCAGTGAACATATCCAACACACCTTCCTTCTATTTTCTCCACAAGAACCCTGTGAGGTAGGTTGGACTGAGAGAGAGTTATTAGTCCAAAGTCACCAGTTGGCTTTTGTGGCTAAGGTGTGATTCACAGTTTCTCTCTTTGCCTTATGCAAGTAGTCCTTGACTTAAAACAGTTCATTTAGTGACCATTCTAAATCACTAAAAACAGCACTGAAAAAAGTGACTTATGATCACTTTTCACACAATTGCAGCTTGCCCTAGGTCATGTGATCAAAATTCAGATGCTTGGCAATGGACTCATATTTGACGATTGTAGTGTCCTAGGATCATGTTATCATGTGGGTCTGCGTGAAATTGCATTAAAGTTGTTTCATTAGACTATTTCAGTTCTATGCTGAAGTTGAAATGAGACTTGAGATGTCCTCATTGTTCCATATTTGAAAGGAACAAAAACTTAAAACATTTTGGAATCCTGTTTTAGAGAACAATTAGAAATTTGGAACAATCTCTTGTTCCCTATAGGTGGGGGGCTCCTAGTGATGAAAAATGTTAGATACTAAATAATTCTGAACATTAGCTAAAATGCAGATTACAGAAAAAATGGCTGTGAGCATGATTTTTAATTTTTTCACACACTTTAAAAATTATAATAAACAATCATAACAAAACTTTTATACATACCCAGTCAGATAATCACACAGTCTCCACATAGACTCAGCCTATGTGTACTAACAGTCACAAATTGTTTTTTGCAAAGCAGAATACTTAATAAAATGATATCAAGCAGGTAGTAATCTTCAGTCCAATTTTTTATTTATTTTGTTTATTATTAAATTTATATAACGCTCATCTCGTTGATACAGTGACTCTAATTTACTAATTTAATGTGCTTAGTTGGCTGTTCTTTGCCCCAACCTTTCCTAGTTAGCTCCTACCAGTGGCTGCAGAGATGGAAGCTGTGTTCTATTAGCTGTGCACAGTCTGAGCTTCCATCGCAGGAAGTTGTTTTTTTTTTTTAAATAAATCTATTTGCAAGATTTATTAGATCATTCTAACATACACGGAATGATACACCCCTTTGGTTATATTTTGAAGTTGGAATATTGGGCCCATTCCCATTAGAAAGGAAAATAATTCTAAAAAAATATGTGCATGAATCAGAAAATCCTAAGATTGCTGTATTAATTTTCAGGTGAATACAAGAAAGATGAACTGTTGGAAAGTGCCAGGTAAGTGATGTTAAGAAAACAAAAATTATTGTTTAATTTTTCTGGAAAAAATAACATTACATCCATGCCTTGCATTTACAAGTATTGCAGGATTTTAATGTGATCATCATTTGGGCACAAGCATGGTCAATAAGAAAATAGCAATAAAATTCTTTAGTGGTGATATCTTCCTTAATGACCATACCTGATTCACTTAATGGTTGCAGTAGAAGTGATGTTGTAAGTCTGCGGCAATCATGTGATGTTTCATTTTGTGATGATTTACCTGGTCTCATTTGTGGTCATTAAGCAAGGACTACCTGTATATAGATATTTCTTCCACTGTTGGGTGGGGAGATGGAGTTCCAGATTAAGAGTATTAATGCACGTGTCACATCAAGGCAGGGTTAGCAGCACAATTCCCCTCCCTCTTCCAACAACGGAACATCTGAGTAAATCTTTAGTTCCTTCAGGGTATTTCTTAAATTTTAATTTGTTTCAAATGTAATGGTCTCTTGTAATTAAATCTGACCTGAAAACCTTAGCTTGAGTAAGACTTTATTTTTTCTTCAGTTCAATTTTATTGCTGTACATAATTATAAGTCTTGTATTATAACTGTAATCTAAAAAATACTTTAGGTTTATACTTTCTAGTTGTTTAGTATAAGAAAAAATAATAAAAGGTATGTCATCACAAATAGCAGGAAAGAAGACCCTTGAAAATATTACACGTTTATAGTACAATTATCTTGGTCCGTGTACAAGAATGAACGAAAGAGCCTGGGGGGGGAGAATGAAAAGAGGTATCAGCCTAGAATCTCTATGTAGCTACAAGCAAACTACATCCCAACTTCCTTTGAGTCCCATATATCCTTATTTGACTTAGTTGAGAAGATTTCCTGTGCATAGGCTGTTAGCAATAAATCAGTTTAATTGAGCCTTCATATGTGGACAAGATCTTTCATCCCTTACTGTCCATTTGGAAGCAGTACCAATTCAGCTGCATTTGTGTGCAGGATAATATGCATACAGTACGTATACATATTTCACAATACTTTTTCGTTTGTGCCTTTGAGTCAAGTTTTGACTCTGGCAACTGCCTAGACAAGTCTCCATGGTATTCTTGGCAAGGTTTTTCAGAAGTAGTTTGCAATTGCCTTCTTCCTAGGGCTGAGAGAGAATGATTGGATCACAGTCATCCAACTGGTTTTATGCCTAAGGCAGGATTTGAACTCAGTCTCCCGGTTTCTAGCCTGATGTTTTAAGCACTATACCATGCGTCATTTAAAAATAATCATTAAATCTTGGCAAATGGAATTTAAACATAATGATACATACAAAGCATAATAGTTAGAAAGCTAATTACACTTGTAAAATCAAGTCTAAAGGTAGATATTTAATAATTAGATTTAACATAATAATAGTTTACCCTGCCTTTCAGAGTTGAATAAAATAAATTACTTCATTGTGGTCACTCAAGTTGAGCAAAAGGAGAGCATGCAAGTTGAGCAAAAGGAGAGCATGCAATTTGCAAAATGTTCACGAATATTAATTTTCTTTTTAGGAGTGGAAATGAAGAAAAATTAATGGCTCTTCTAACACCGTTAAATGTCAATTGCCATGCAAGTGATGGCAGAAAGGTATTTTTAAATGTACATTTTTTTTGGACTAGCAAATTAAGAAAATTACATTGAAAATATTTGATAATATTTCACTTGATGTAATCTTAGTTTTGGATTACTTTTCTTATATTTTTACTTTAAGGAATAAAAGTTTAATAGAACTTTTCAAAACTCAGATAGCAATATCGTTAAGAAAACTGAGTTTGTTCAAGTAATTGCCGTATCATAAAATACTACCAAACTAAGCATTAATTATATTTGTGCTAGCAGGAAGAATAAACTTAAAATAGTTGCCTTCTGTGTTCGTGTTGGTGTGTTTAAGAGCTGAAGGATTTTCTTACATCCAGTTTCTTTTTACATTCATTCTTTAAGTCGATTCCACAGTTCATACTGTTCAAGACATGAACAGTATGTCTGTTCCTCTTAATAAAGAGATTCACGGCTTCTTGATGTTTACCTTGAAAAGGGTGGCCACGTTCTGAAAATTACATTGTGCAATAATGGCAAATATCTGTAGCTTGTGTGTAGGATGAGGGTAAAGGTTCATTCTCTGAGCTTGAGGGTTGATTTCCACATGTTTTGTTACCAGGCTAGGTAATATCTTCAACGGTGTTTAGTGGATGTCTGTGTCAGTGTTTTACTTATATAAGGGCTTCAGGTGTCAGAGTGCCAAGTGAGGGTCTTGTGATCGCTACCCACGCTGACATCAAACAACACCAGTTCAATTAAAGCAAGGGTGTCAAACTGCTGGCTCGTGGGCCGGTTGCATCATGTGGAGGCCACGCCCACCCCAGTTCTGGCAATGTGAAAAAAGTCACAATACATCGCGTCATGTGACACAGTGAGTTTGACACTCGTGAATTAGAGCAGTACTAAAATCATTGGCCACTCTACCACCTGCCACGCTCGGGAGTTCATCGATGCCTGGCACTCCACAAGCAATTCCATCAACGGACACATTGATCTATTCTACAACCAGCCTATGAATCCCTCAGAATCCAAATCAATTGAACAGCCATCCGGAGACAGCACCAACTCTCAAGCCCCTCTCCTTCTCCCCACCCCCCCAGCAGTTCACCTTCCAATGATCCTGACCTGACATAATCTCCCCATCACGAGACCCATTACCAGCCTCCCGCTGATGATTCACTCCTGACCCACTAATTCAAACCTTCCAATGACCCTGACCTGAAATACCTCCCCATCACAAGCCTCTCTCTGACTCACACCTGGCCCATCACAAGACCCTCACTTGACACTCGCACACCTGAAGCCCTTAATATAAGTAGAACACTAACACAGACACGCACTAAACACAGCCGAAGATGTTACCTAGCCTGGTAACTAAATGTTTGAAAACTAACCCTCAAGCTTGGAGAACAAATCTTCACCCTCAATTATATTGTGGAAAGCTGGTTGTCTTTCTTTAGCTTAAATTGGAACTTGCCCAAGAGGAGTTCATATTCTGTTCAATAGTTAGCACCTGGTCATATCTTTAATGTTGTCACCAAGCTTTTCTACCTCCCTTTAGCAACAGTGTAGTCAGTTATTTCTATATATTCCATCTGGTGATGTCTGTATTTACAACCATTGTTTTAGTTGCTTGAAGACAATGTTAGCTATGAAAGAATAATTGGGCAGCAGAAATTGATTTTCTTTTTGATTTCCTAAGTTATATACCTCAACTACACTATCCTGTTTAATATTTCCTACTTTACATTCTAATAGTAATAAATCTTGCTTGCGTATCTTGTTGATTTCAAATTGATCATAAACTCATCGGCCACTTCTTCTACATCAATAGTAGGAGAATAAATTGGGATGATGGTCATATTAAAAGGTTGTCCACAAAGTCTAATTGCAAGTACTGTTCTTGCTATATCCTTCCTAACTATAAAAACAATGCTGTTCCATCTTTTCTCATGTTTTTGGTGAGTATGATCCTTTGAATGAAAGTATCCAATCCCGGTCCATTTCAATTCAATGGTGCCTAAGATATCAATTTGCAATTGTTTCATTTTTCATTGAAAAATGTTTGCTCATGTTCATACTTCTTACATTCCATGTTCCCATTGTAATTCTGTCTTTGTAGCTTTAGATTTTCTTTTCTTGTATGGCAACATCAACAACTAGATATCTTGAATCTAGGTAGTCTAGCCACATTATAAACACCATTAATTCTCTGAAATATTCTGAGCTCTTCCTCAGTGGCACACTGAGTGCCATTCAGTCAGGGACCCATTGTGCTATATTCGTCGCTTTATACTTTTCTGTGCATGTGGTTTTCTGGTAAAAATACAGGAGTATTTGCCTTCTGCCAGTATGAATTAATGCCTTTGCCATTGACCATAAAATGAACATCTGCCTCCAACCTTTTCATTTATCATTGTTGCCTGTTTGGTTTAGCTAGCAACTAGGATGACCTTCATGCCTTGGGGTGATCCTGCTGGGGATATATAGTTTTGACAACAATACTATATCATCCCTTCCAACAATGCCCTTTCATCCACCAAAATAAGCCAGAAGATCAGGACTTGAAGAAAAGAGAGCAATGTAAACAAGTTTAACAGATCTTTTTTTTTTAAAAAAAAAAAAACTGTTTTCTAAGTTATATTTGTTATATCTAAGTTTGTTATATTCAATGTTTTATTTCTAGTCAACTCCATTACACTTAGCTGCTGGCTATAACCGTGTTAAAATAGTGCAGCTATTATTACATCACGGAGCAGATGTTCATGCAAAGGATAAAGGGTGAGTGTCTAAGAAGATGGAGCATTAGAGATTTTTATTAACATGGAGCTTATGTTTTCCTATGTCTTATTGAAAAGAAGACAGTTCCAAATTTCAGACAAAAGACAAAAAAAAGTTGCACTATCCACTCCCCTTGATTTATCATCTCCCTTATCAAATATGTCAGTTCTGTACACTTTCTACCTAATCAACAGTGATTACCGATTCTCATTAAAATCAATCCTGTTGGAGCTTATTTTCTCTAAGAAATAGGTATTTGTGACAAGTGTTTGTATGCACTAGTATGTATATATGGACATGCACTGATCAGAGCCTGCATTCCAATTAATGTTAATAGGATTAATAACTATTTAAAATTAATATATATATAAAGCAGTACTATTGACATTATGCATATACCTAGAGAAAGGACTTGGTGAAAATCTGTGTTCAACAGGTGTAAACCTGTCAACAAGTCAACAATTCTTGTAGGTAAACATAGATTTCTAAGCTAGAGATGGATCTGATTTGCCCATTTGTAGCATCTGGATGATCTTGGAGAGCAGCTGCATGTGCAGTGCATTATCATTCAACTATTAACTGACTAGCACAGTAGTGATTAACTGAAGGGAACATCTGCAAATTGGCACATTAGATGGATCTATACCATGGGTTGGCAGCCTGCAGCTCCGGAGCCACATGCAGCTCTTTGGGCCTTCTCCTGCGGCTCCGGAGCTTCCTCTGCCATTTGCAGAGAGAGAGACAGAGGGGCACTTGTGCTTCCCTTCTCTCTCTCTCTCTCTCTCTTTCTCTCTCTCTCTCTCTCTCTCTATCTCTCGTAGACCTGCCCTCGTGGGGCTCCTAATTGGCCCAGGCGCCCCGCCCCCTGGGAGAAGTGTAGCCAGGAAGTCCCTTTCCCAGGCTGGCCCTGTCCGAGGCACACGTGGCCAGGGAGACGCGCAGGGCAGTCCTGGGATTCCCCCTGGGAACGGCCTACTGGAGCCTCCACTGAGCAAGCCAGCCCTCCCTCAAACTGCGGCCCCAGGAAAGGGGTCTGGCCCATTTAGGCTCAGCGTTGCTCTGTCTCCCAAGCCCTGAAGGTGCATGGCTCACTTTGAACAGGAATGGCCCCCGAAGTCCCGCACTTCCCCTGAAGCCCACTGGGAGATGGGAGGGGAGGCAACAGCAGCTGCTCTCGCAAGGGACCTCTAGCCAGCCCGGTGGATCTACCGGGAGGTAGGCAACAAGCGCCGGATCCCCTGCGGGGGAAGCTTGCTCCGTCCTTCCTTTTCTTTCAGGTGCTGTTTCTGAAAAGGGGGGGGGGTACCCAACTTGAGCAGGAGGACCCCTCCCCAGCCCATCCCCATACCTGCCGGGGTCCCACGGCTTCCTGGGGAGCCTGGCTTGGGGCTGGGGGGGAGGAAGCCGGGCACTGTAGAGCCCCAGAGCTGGAGGGAAGAAGGGCCACCTGGAAGGATCGGCGCATGTTGGCCGGGGGAGTTCCTCTCCTTGGGGCAGGGGGTCCTGGAAGCCCGGCTACCCCAACGGCCCGGTGCTGGGCTTTCCCCCCCTGAGTATCTTGCAGGCTGGTTTGCAGAGGGGACTGTGGTGGAGTCTCCAGATGGGCAGGGCAGGGAATTGGGCCTGAGCTGGGTCTTCTGTAAGATCCAGGCCAGGTGTCCCAGAAAGCTGCGGCGCCTCCAAGTCCGTTGGTTTACCAGCGAGCCACCGCCTCCTCATCTCCTGCCCTTGCTGCATCTCCTGTGGAGACACGTTTGCGTCTCTGTGTCTCTCTCTGCCACTCAAAGCCATCCTGCAGCTCAATCCTTGAAGCAGTTTCAAGGCCCCTTCATTGCCAAGCGTCCCCATGAAAGTCAATGGAGGTCCGCGGCGACTCGAAAGGCCAAGGGACCCACCTGGCTGAGTTTGGACAAAAGATCAGGCAAGGTCCCGTTCCAACCACTGCTACTTTGGCCAGGAGAGACCTGCACTAATCAATCTTCCTGCTCGTTGATCTGTGTTGATGCCAAAGCCGAGGAAGCGAGGTAAAACCAACGGACTTGGAAGCACCACAGCTGGCCTTTCGAGTTGCCGTGGACCTCCATTGACTTCCATGGGGACACTTGGCAATGAAGGGGCCGATTGAAATGGCTTCAGTGATCAAGCTGCAGGATGGCTTTGAGTGGGAGAGAGAGACACAGAGACGCAAACACATCTCCACAGGAGATGCAGCAAGGGCAGGAGACGAGGAGTCAGCTATGTCTGTGCACAAGCCCTGAAAGCTTTCTTCCTCTCCCTGATCTTGCCTTTCTTGCTCTTGCTGGGTTTCCTCAACCTCCACCCTGTTTTATTTTAATCCCACCACTGCCTCCCTCTTTTGCAAAGTTGACATTCCGGGGACTCCGAGCTTGCTTCGCTTTTGGAGTCACTTGGTAAAGTTTGAAGGAGAGGCCGCCTGCTCCCACCTCCCACAGAGCAGAACTGCTGCTTCCTCGCCCTCCCAGCGAAAGAACCCCAGAGAGCTGGAAAACGTCCTTTCTCCTACTTTCCGCTTCTTATCCTCTCTTTTCTGAGCATCCCTCCCAGAGCGAGCCAGAAGCCTCAACTCCAGCCTCCCACAGCAGGCTGAGATAGGTGAGCCCGAGCGGCCGTTTGCTGCTGCCTCGGAAGATTTGCTACAGCAGCTCCTTCTCCCTCGGCCTCCTCCTCTGTTCCCTGGGAACCTTCACGCCAAAAGGCAAGTCCCAGAGAGGGAGAGCGCAGGGAGGGGAGGAGAAGCCAGGACGGCAGAGCCATCCATACCAGAGCTGGTTGAGGGGGGGCAGGGCCGGTGCATGTCTCTCCTTAAGCTCCACTCTTCAATCAAGGCCCTTGTTTTGCGTGTGCGCACACATGCGCACACACACATTTTGCGGCTCCCAGGTTTTTTGTGTGTGAGGGAAACGGGTCCATGTGGCTCTTTCACTGTTTCAGGTTGCCGGCCCCTGATCTATACAAAGATCCTGCAGATTATTAACATCAAATAGCTATCGGCAATCACAGTAAGAGGGGAGAAATGACATAGTTTTCCCACCCTTACCACCATTCCAAATACTTACTTGTGTTTGGCCAAATTTGCTCTTCATCCTCCTCCATCAATATTCCAGGTGTCTTTTCTGCCACTTTATTTTCTGGAGCTCCTTTGTAAACCAAGATGCATGCTGAGATCAGCACGCAAGTAGACCATAAAGGCAGTATAGTCAAGGTCTCCATTATCTACCTGTTCTATAATTAAGGACTTGGCTGAACTATCCACCAGATTCTGGGGGGGGGAACCAAGTTTCCTCTGGAACTCTATAGGGTCTTTAAATTTTGCGGGGGAGGGCAGGGTGATCTTGCAGATCCTATATCCCTGTGAGGCAAGGTGACACAAGTGAGCTGGGAGGCAATCAGAGCCTGATTTGTCCACAACAATGGGTTGATGGTAAAGTCCTCTAAAGCTACATCACATCACAACTGCCCCAGGCTAATAACCAGATCCAAAGTACAACCACTATTGTATGTATTGGGCTTTTCCTGTCTATTGTCTTTAGTTCAATAGGATCTTCCACAATTATTCCTCCAGTTAAACACTAGGTCAGTAGTTTTTTGATCCTAAATATAATGTCACATTGAGTTATACTATGTGCTATTTAACACTATTGATAAGAGTCTAAATTTTATCTGATTTTCTGCTTTGTCAAATAGACATTTGAATTTTCTGATTGTTACTACTGATAAATGATGTTTAACAATGGTCTGTCTTCACTTTCCAGAGATCTAGTGCCTCTTCACAATGCCTGTTCTTATGGGCACTATGAAGTAACAGAACTTCTAGTAAAGGTTAGTTACATAATAATGTGCCACTTCTATAGACAGATTTCCTTATTATGTTTTATACCTATGCAAATAATTTGAAAAATGGAGAAGTGCTCTCAGCATTTGCTAATTCATTCATTAGACTGATATCCTGTCATTTGTTCAAGAGGTCAAACCAGTGGACCTAGCCTTATCTCCACTCATTATTCCCTCAACAATAATCTGTGAGGTTTGATTTGAGAGTGATTGGTCCAAAGTTACTTTGTAAACTTCCATGTGCGAGACTAGATTCGCTGGTGTCTTGCAGTACCTTACCCATTGCACCACACTGGATCTAACTACAATGTGCTTATTAAAGGCACAAAACAGCTGCTCAGAGACTCAACATGTATGTTTCAGGGGCTTCATAGAAGAAATGTCCAACATGATATCTAGCAAACCTTATTTTTTCACTTTATTAGCTTTGATTTCTCAGCATATCTGTAAAAACACAAAAACACAATAGTGTTGGGGTCGAACGACCATTTCACGGGGGTCGCCAAACAACGCAGTCCGCCATTTTTTCCCCTTTTCCTTAGCTGTGCTACTGCCTTTTATTCTATTGGCTTTTGAAAGCCAATAGAATAGACTCTCTTGAATAGAGTCTAATTCTATTGGCTTTCAAAAGCCAATAGGAATTGTCCAGGCTGTCTCTGCCCTGCTGAGCCCGCCAAAAGTCCCATTCTGCAAACGGTGCTGCACCAGTTGAGTAGTCCTCGACTTACGACCGGTTGGGGGTCGCAGCATTAAAAAGGTTGAGAACCACTGCTCTAAAGGAATTCCTTGCTTGTCCAATGATCTTCATAAGCATATTCTACTTAGCCTCTCAATATATATATATATATTCAGATCAGCTAAAATGTGTCCTCCAGCACAAATTTCTACAAATATTTATTGTTTGATAGATAGTCCATCTTTGATATGATCATGCGCAGTGCAAAATCATTGGGAAAAAATATTGAACTTGAGCTAGTTAAAACAGGTATTTATAAAAATGTCTGGTACATTTCTTGTTTATTGATTTCTGCCTTAGATCAGCTGTTTCTTTGCTTTTTATAAAAATAGCTTATAAAACTTGTTTATAAAAACAATCTTCCAAGTATTTTTTGTAAAACAAAATGTTTTCTGATAGTCATAGCTGGAGGCAGGGAGCTAAGAAAGATTCAGTTGGCATACTGGCCTCAGGGGTTACACATTCAGACTTTCAGGCTGAAGTTTCCTACTTTGAAAACCACTTTTAAAGTTATTATTTCATTATATGTCCAAATTCCTGCCTAGCATGCTAAGATACTGTTCCTAAAGTTGGTAGAATTAACTAGATTATATAGTTAATTGAATTCCAGATCAAAATTCTTAAAGCTGTGATCTTAAGTGAATGTCTCACATATGTAAACTATTTTATCATTTTGAACTTCACTAAATGAACAAAGTATTAGGACAAAATATGATTTATGGCCCCTACCTGAGCAATTGTTCTTCCATGTACATTAGAGCTCTACTTTAACATTATGTATGATTCTCTTTCCTTTCCTAGCATGGAGCATGTGTAAATGCAATGGATCTATGGCAGTTCACTCCTCTTCACGAAGCAGCTTCTAAAAACAGAGTCGAAGTGTGCTCCCTCTTGCTGAGTTATGGTGCTGACCCTACACTGTTAAACTGCCATAATAAAAGTACAATTGACTTGGCCCCTACACCTCAGTTAAAAGAACGATTGGCATGTGAGTACAGAGAAAATAAACGGAAATCAGATCATTACCTTTTTTCAGTTTTCGGATCTTGATAATCATCCACTATCTGTAATTGATTGCTGTTTCTATAATTCTCGGGAAGGCATAGATCATCAGAAACAGAATACTGTCTTTCTTGGAAGTATAGAAGTCACCTGAGAATTACATCTGCAGTATGGAAGCATTCACGTGCCATCACAGAGCAGAACTAGTCAAACAGTGTCTTCTGCTTTGTGAAATTTCGAAACTGTAATAACCCTTCGAGGCTGGTTTCAAGTTGTACAAGTATCCATCCTATAAAACTGTAATTTCTTACCTAGGTGAATCAGGGTTCCTTATTTATTTAATTATATTGTTTATGATCATGCAGAAAAAAGATGGGATGCATCAAGCACCTCAGTAATGTAAGATCAGGCTGCTAAAAATTGATTGTAAAATTGCTTATGTTTAGTGGCAAGATTTTTGATTTTATTTTATTTTATTTTATTTTTTTTGCTGAAAAATAAAACTGGGAGGAGGTTTATAGGAGGCATATTGCTCCTGTTTCTTCCCCTAAATATCCAATTCCCAGAGAAGTCTAAAAATTCACCATCAAATTGGGTCGTTTTGCTGCCAAATTTCATCATTTTGATTTTGGTCAGAGGGACTGGATTTGTTCTGTTTATTAAATTTGTTTGCCGCCCATCTCACATGAGGTGACTCTCTAAGCTTGCAATATTAAAAGGGGTTAAAGTGTCATAGAAGATTTTTATTTGATATGTGTCTGATTGTGTGATATTTAAGGCTTAAATGCCATAAACCTTTTTTCCCCCCTAGATGAATTCAAAGGCCATTCATTACTACAGGCTGCAAGGGAATCAGATGTGAATCGTGTAAAAAAGCACCTCTCTCTTGAAATTGTTAATTTCAAACATCCTCAGACTCACGAAACTTCTTTGGTAATTCGTTACTCATACCTTTTCAATGAAAGCTGTCTGTTATTGGACAACCTTGACTTAACAACCATTCATTTAACAATGGTTCAAAGTTATGATGGCATGACTTATGATTTGTCTTCAAAGTTACAACTTTACACCACCCCTAAAGTCACATGATTGCAGTTAGGGTGCTTGGCAATTGACTCACATTTATGACTGGTTGCTGTATCTTGTGATCACATGATCATGATTTGTGAACTTTGCAGCCAGCTTCTGACAAGCAAAGTCAATAGGGGAAGTCAGAATTGTGATTTGCTTAATGATGTCATAGTGATTTGCTTAATGACACTGGTTACGACATTTGCTTAATGACACCGGTCATAATATCGGATCTGGTCATATGATGATTCCTTTAATGACTGCAACTCTTACGTTTCAATAATGGTCATAAGTCAAGGACTGCCTTTATTGCCAAACTGAGCAGATGGAGAATCAAAGTATGATTTCTTTCTTTACTGGAAAGAATTAAGAGAATTTAGTTTTACAATATCAGCATAGTGCATTGGTTATACATACTTTTGTCTAATTAGACATTTTTCTAATTTTTGCTTTTCTATAGATTATTTTCATGTACCTTTTATTGTAGTCAGTAGTTTTCAGCAATATAATTATGTCTAGTAATTGCCATTTAAAAATGATTTAGAATTAAGGCTTTGGAAAACAGGGTTCTTCCTCAAAGGGAGCTTGTAATTTTTGAGGTTTCCATACCATTTTTTTTTTAAAAAAGATGCAGGTTCCTAAAAGAGTTGATTCAGTAAAGTTGTATGTGTCTTGAAGCAGCTGCAGCTTTTTTTTCAGGCTCACTTGAATGCTGAAAAAAGAGGATCTGCTTTTGATTAGGGAAGAGGCATTGTGCTCACCTATGTCTGAATATATGTTATTATGAAAACTAGAAACATCTAGTTTCACTGATGTTAATATAGCTAGCAAATAAAGTCATAATCTCATTCTTTAATAGCACTGTGCTGCTGCATCTCCATATCCTAAGCGAAAGCAAGTCTGCGAGTTACTTCTAAGAAAAGGAGCCAACATCAATGAAAAGACAAAAGAGTGAGCTTGTTTTTATTTTGCCTTTTTATCTTATTAATCCATGGACATACTCAGAACAACACATACGGTACAGGTTTTCTCCATTTTATCCTCACAATTATCCATGGGATGAGATGTGAGAGTGATTGACATATTCAAGCCCACCAAGCAAAATCAATGAATTTGACACCAATTCTTCTGATCGGGTTTTCTTTCAGGGTCCTTTTCAATTTTTGCTGGATTAATGGGTAAATTTGGATTTTGGGAAATGTCACAATGTGAGCGCTAACAGAGAGTTGTAAAATACAGGGTATAGGATGCAAGCCACCACTAAATTTCTTATTACAGCAAAATACTATTTGTTGAAAAGTGCACTTTGAATTAAAAGTGTATAGCGATAAGGTAGTTTATGTGTATCTGCATTTTATTTTCACAACTTAGATTGAGAATGAGTGAGTGAGTTAAAATTACCCAGTGAGCTTCTGTGATCAGCATCTTAATCACTGCACCTGATCAGTCCTTACTTGCTCTTACCTTTTCTGCTGCCCCTTAGGTCTCAGTTTACGTTACAGCATCTTTTACTTATTCCTTCCAAACCATTCCTTCCAGTGGGAGAAGGGATATCTAAAACTGCTTCCAACTATCTAATCCTCTTCTTTCAAAGAAAAGTCTGTGCCTATACTATATAAGTTTGAAGTGCCTTAGAAAGAGAAACAGAGCAAAGACTTTGAAACCTGAATTCAGTTTATCTAGTTGCCAAAGATTTTAAAGAAATGTTTAAAGAAAAATTTAAATAAAAATTATTTGGGATGAGCAAGAAAATATTGGTTGCCAACAGGCATTGTTTTGTTTACTCTAATTCCCATCATATCTGTACTAATTTTCAACAATCTAAAAAGAACAAAATGGAAATATATTATGACTTATTTTGTTTTTATAAAGCTTCCTGACACCTCTTCATGTGGCATCAGAAAAAGCTCATAATGATGTTGTTGAAGTAGTTGTGAAGCATGAAGGAAAGGTATGAACTATTTTTAGTATAACTCAATCATCCTTTTTGGGTAAAATGAAAAAATAACATGTACATTTATAAATGTTTATAACTAATATTTGAGAAAAAAAATCATTTATGATTTGTGTTTTCTTCCAACTGTATAGAGGCCAAAATAAAGATGCTTAATGATATTTAAATAATATTTGGGGTATTTGATAGCATGTCATTTGTCTGGTAATAAGCAGATGATGGTAGGAACAGCAATTTTGGATATTAATATATCATAGTCAGTAGAGATGTGTAAAACATTTAATTGAATATCCTCAGAATGTCTGTTCCCCACTTTCAGACAGAGGTTGTAACAGACCATTTCAAAGTTGTACTACTTTCAGCACATGTGGAATGTACTGTTTCATCCTTAAAAAATATTTGCAGCCTTTTAGTAATCTGTTTTCTCAAAGTAGACAGTTCTCTATCTCCATTATGAATTGCTCTAAAGGACTAGATACCATACTCTGTATTTCCTGCATTGTTAAGATTCTCTGATAATTTTTAGGTCAATGCTTTGGATAATCTTGGCCAGACATCTTTGCATAGAGCAGCGCACTGTGGCCATCTGCAGACATGCCGGTTGTTGTTGAGTTTTGGCTGTGATCCCTCAATTGTATCACTGCAGGGTTTCACAGCTTCTCAGATGGGAAATGAAAGCATTCAGCAGTTGCTACAAGGTAATAATGCATAATTTTTTTCTTGTGTAAGTTTTTTACATTTGTTGTTGTTGTTAGTTTCAAAGTCATGTCCGACCCCTCGTGACCCCCTGGACAATGTTCCTTCAGGTCTTCCTGTCCTCTACCATCTTCTGGAGTCCATTTCAGCTCACTACTACTGCTTCAGTGACTCCATCCAGCCACCTCATTTTACATTTTATCAAAGGCCACAGAGACCTCGGAGTCCTAGTAGACAATCACTTAAATATGAGCCAGCAGTGTGCTGCAGCTGCCAAAAAAAGCCAACACAGTGCTAGGCTGCATTAACAGAGGGATAGAATCAAGATCACGTGAAGTATTAATACCACTTTACAATGCCTTGGTAAGGCCACACTTGGAATACTGCATCCAGTTTTGGTCACCACGATGTAAAAAAGATGTTGAGACTCTAGAAAGAGTACAGAGAAGAGCAACAAAGATGATTAGGGGACTGGAGGCTAAAACATATAAGGAACGGTTGCTAGAATTGGGTATGTCTAGTTTAACGAAGAGAAGGACAAGGGGGGGGACATGATAGCAGTGTTCCAATATCTCAGGGGCTGCCATAAAGAAGAGGGAATTAAGCTATTTTCCAAAGCACCTGAAGGCAGGACAAGAAGCAACGGGTGGAAACTAATCAAGGAGAGAAGCAACCTAAAACTAAGGAGAAACTTCCTGACAGTTAGAACAATTAATCAGTGGAACAGCTTGCCTCCAGAAGCAGTAAATGCTCCAACACTGGAAGTTTTTAAGAAGAGACTGGACAGCCACTTGTCCGAAATGGTGTAGGGTTTCCTGCCCGAGCAGGGGGTTGGATTAGATGACCTCCAAGGTCCCTTCCAACTTTACTACTATTACTAAAGGCCGATTATGAATCCTTGCTGAATCCCTTGAACTAGTAGCTTCCTGAAAAACGCTCTGAAGAAGCTTCAGACAAATGCACAAAAAGTAAATTCATGATGGCCTCTCAGATAACTAACAGAATGACCATGCCTGGCTATTGTACACAGTTAATGCATGGAGAAATGTTGGTCATGTTCCTGTTCTGTATGTGATGGATTGATAAATATGAACCTATCTGACTTGGCATTAGTGTGTACTCTTTTTGAAAATACAGTTACTTGCCTCAGCATTTAAATTGGTATTTCTGTATATTGAATGATGAAGTTAATGGCACCTTTTTGATTTTGTACTTTGGTGTATATATAATACTTGATAAATACTAAGTTCTTCTTCTACAGAAGGTGTTCCTTTGGGCAATTCAGAAGCAGATCGACAGTTATTGGAAGCAGCAAAGGCAGGAGATGTAGACACAGTAAAGGTAAGACAATTCGTTGCAAAAAAAAAAAAGTAACATCTAACAAGGAAAGCAGATCAGCTTGGGTTAATCTTAAATCTTTGAAATAGAAAAATTGAAAAACAAATCCCACTGCATATTAACCAGTTTGAAACAATCTCAGATTTAAAACAATTTATAGGCAATTACAGATTTTTCTCTTTACTGTTGCCTCAGTAATGAAACAATTGGCCAATTCAGTTGCTTTGGAAAGATGCATTTTTTTAAAAAAAGGCCACAAAACGACCTGAGAAATTGTATTTGCATTATATTAGGGCAATTGTAATTTTCCAGTTAGGTCTTTCCCTATTCAAATATATTTTGGATGTCAGAAAAGATCGCCAAGATTTCCCTGCATCATCTTAGAAATGTATCTAACCATTGCTAACGAGAATAGTCAGTGTGATGATGATACAGGATGAACCTTGCATATAGATGATATGGTAATAGACCCCAACTGGTATTTGAGATATTGATTTGTTTTTAGCAACCCTAAAAAAAAACATGCTCCATGACCTTCATAAGAGTCATTTTTGTCATTTTCATATTCCTGTTGGTTAAGGTTTAATGTGGATATGTACTCAAAATTTGAAACAGTTTTTAAACACCAAACATATTTTTTTATCCTTTTTGAAGTGTTTCATTATGAAATATTTTGGGCTTGAAATACTCCCAAAATGATTGAAGTACCCAGTTTTCAATTTCAAAAAGGGCACTTCCTGCTCAGGGCAGTTCTTATTAAAGAATATGCACACCACTTTCTGGTGCACTTGAGGTCCAGTTTACTTTATTTCAATGAATCACTAAATACTTAAGCTAACTGAACATTTCTTTCCCAGTATTCTTTCACAATAAAAGGCTGAACGAAGAGGCTGATTCACATTTACTTTCCCTTCTCTACATAGTCCCTTCATGCTCTCTGAAAATATGTTCAGGAGAGTTGGGAGACATTTTTGAGTAATAGAGAAGGGAAACTTCAGAGTTGGGAAGAAGGTATATAGCAAAAATAAGTCCATCGGTTATTTAGTGGGACCCCAGGATTTTACCTAGCTTTCTGGCTTCTGCCTAGTATACCAGAATAGCTTGTGTGCTCTTCTATGTTCTTGGAATGTGATATCAGTAACATTTGGAGCAGAGGGATGTCTTTTTAAAGTATAAGAATTAAATCATTCAGTGTTCCAGATTGGACTTTTAAGATAGTATTGGTGGTATCAGAAATATAAAACAGGAGGATTGAGGATTTGATGCTGTAATTCAGGGGTACCAGGCTGTGGCTTGTTGGCCACTGGGCCACAGGAATAGCTGGCAAGACCCCCCCCCCGCAGTAGCGCTGCCGCAGGGGCACTAGTCGCCCCGTTTGTGCATGCGCGGGGGCACTAGCACTGTCATCAGTGTCCCACGGGTGCCAACGGCCCATTTGCATGTGCATGCAGGCGCCAGCAGCCCGTATGCACATGGGTGCCAGCAGCCTGTTTGCACAGGTGGCAGCGGCCCATTTGCATATGCATGTGGGCGCCAGTGTACTGCCACAAGTGCACATGGTGTACTTGTGCATGCGTGCACGCTAGCACTGCCGCCATGGGCGCCCCCATTTATGCATGCGCATGTGAGCCGCACGCACATTTCCCTGCTCCTCCCTTTCCCTCCGGGCTGCCAAACTGGAAAGGTTGGGGGGGGCTCTGCTGTAATTTCTATGCTGCTTCAATCTAAGCAATTCAGTGTGACTTAAAAAAATTCAATACAAGCAAAAGAATCAACATTTTACTTTTTAAACAAGGAATACATGATTAGTAGTATATACCTAAAGTGTTTATATCTTGCCCAGAGATTGTCTCATTCATTCCTACAGTCCTCAGAGGCTCATGGAAGGAGCCAATGCTGCCTCTGAGGGCCAGTTATTCCACAAGAGGGGAGCTCCCACAGAGAATATCCACGTCCAAGTCTCCTGGTGTTGGATTTCCTGATGGGAGGGGGGATTTTCAATACGTACTTTCTGTTTGTACATATCAGGTGGGGAGATTCTGCCATTAATGTTCACCTCAATTGTTGCATTCCACAGAAGTTATGCACAACACACAGTGTGAATTGCCGGGATATTGAAGGGCGCCAGTCCACTCCACTTCATTTTGCAGCAGGATACAATAGAGTGTCTGTAGTTGAATATCTTTTGCAGCATGGGGCTGATGTCCATGCAAAAGACAAAGGGTAAATATTCCACTCTGTGGTATTTGATTTACTTACTTTTTTTCTGTATGTTTATTTATTTGTTTTCAGGAGTGGCAAGTCTTGAAGGTCTATATTCCTAGATACTTGTAATACAAACCTTATATATAAAGCTTTGTGCAGTTAATGCTTCATCTTTCTACATACAACATTTTTGTCTATGTATATGACAAAAATGTTGTGAGGAGGTTAATCAGTTATTTATTAGGAAAACGTATTTGCCACCCATCTCATATCCAACGAATGAGAGTGGCTCTTTGTGATGCATATTGTTAATGGAAAATTTATAAAATGACACAAATCCATTGAAGTGCAGGTGTTTGGGTATAGGCCCAAAGAGGAATGGAGAATCACCTTTCTTATTCCACTTCTGTCATGATACCTGGTATCTGTTATATTGTCCTTTTATCATAATACTCTTATCTGGCTAATTAATGCCCACTTCAGTGATTATAAAATATATGATAACTGCTTGATCAGTTGACACATATGCTGTATTTCTAATATGACTAACAGTCATTGTAATAAGTAATTTCTGAATTATGAAAGCACTTAGTCCATCAGTATACTATTATTTAAAACTTCAGATTAACAATTTTTCCTGAAGGTTTCTGAGACATTCGCAACTACTGTGCTATCTTTTTAGAGTATTGAAAATATTAGTTTATCTGAAATGTTCTGGTTTCCTTCAAAACTTTCAGTGGCCTGGTTCCTTTGCACAATGCTTGTTCTTACGGACACTATGAAGTGGCAGAACTTCTTGTTAAACATGGTGCAGTTGTGAACGTGGCTGATTTATGGAAATTCACTCCTTTGCATGAAGCTGCAGCAAAAGGAAAATATGAAATTTGTAAATTACTGTTACAGGTAAGTTGCTTGAAATGCATGCATTGTGAAATATTTATCCCATGACATCTAGAGGATGTGTTGGTGTGTGTGTGTGTGGGTGTGTGTGAATAAAATTCAAATTAATTCATAATGTTTCACATGAATAGAGGAAGTTTCACAAGTTGTGGCAGAAATGCTAGAGGGAGTGGGGTGGATTGTTGTACATTATAATGGAAATTAATATGTATTTTTTCAATTTGTTACCAAATTAGCATGGTGCTGACCCCACAAAGAAAAACAGAGATGGAAATACCCCATTAGACCTTGTTAAAGATGGTGATACAGATATTCAAGATCTCCTTAGAGGAGATGCAGCTTTGCTTGATGCTGCAAAGAAGGGCTGTTTGGCTAGGGTGAAAAAATTGTGTTCCCCTGATAATGTAAACTGTCGTGATACACAAGGCCGGCATTCTACTCCACTCCATTTAGCAGGTGAGTTCTCTTTAAAATATATGCTGATGTTGCTGTATCACAATCTTCATATGGAAAAGTACGATTAGGGTTCTCGAGTAGAACCTCAAGCGTATTGATTGTCATTATAAAGGATGAGCAAAATAAGTGTGTTAATAGCAATCATTATTGTTAATGATTGTCCAAGCCCTACTTCAGATATATTTGGCTTTTAATTTTGAAAAATGCCCCTCCAGACATATGAAACTTATCTTACAGAGTTGGATGTTTGGATAATATAGTTTATTCCAGCATCTGTCTATTCTGAAAAGCTGTAGGTTTCCAGGGTCTTAGATCATGGTTTTTCCTAGCTGTTTTTACTGATGATGTAAAGGGTTGAACCTGGAATTTTTAAAGCAAAAAACATATATCCTGCCATTGTGCTTTGCCCCATATGACTGCTACTTGCATGGCTGCCTGCATTGAAAAAAAAAGAAGTACCTGCGGTTTAATGTTCAGAAAACAGGAAAAGAAGTGGGTGATGCTTTTTATATTAATTGTTTATTCAGATACGGAATAATTTATTAATAGTATTCGTTCTTACTGCCTCCTAGCTGGTTACAACAATTTGGAAGTTGCTGAATACTTATTACAGCACAGTGCTGATGTAAATGCACAGGACAAAGGAGGTTTAATTCCTTTACATAACGCAGCATCCTATGGGGTAAGTAGCTTGATCTTTTATTGTAAATATTTTTAAATTGTGCATCAGTTTTAAAGGAGCTTATGTAGGCCTTTTAAACCTTTTTTGGCACTGCAGCTTCAAGGCTTTTTCCTGAACTTTTTCATTTGCATATATGGATAGAAATCACTTCTATCTTGATTGCCACTAAAACAAAGCAATATAACAATGTGTCCCATCAGTAAATTTCTGAAAGATGCCAAATAGCCCTTCATGTTTTTATTATCATTATTCTTTTCCTCCTTCAGTTTAGAATAGTTTATACTAAGGGATGTTTCTACTTATACTAATGATTTAGGGTGAAAATATCATAGAATAACTTGTTTTGTTTCCATTTTGTATCTCTGGGAATTGAACTATGAGTTTGCTAATAGGATAAAGGAAATATATTAGTGAAAGCTACGAACACAAATTTTGTTTGGTTGTTTGCTTCCATGATCCATAGTCAAATTGCAGCAATTCAGTTCTTTTTGGATAGTATTATTTCACGTTGATACATTGAGATCTATGTTTATTTCAATTTATAGAGCAGAACATATCTATGGGCATTATTAGTATGATATTGTGATCCAAATAATAAACTAGGAGTGACAAAACTGAGGTACAAAGTCCCATTCAGAGATGACTATCATTTCTGTTGGTAATTGGATGACCTTGGGCAAGCCAATATTTGTAATCTTCACCACCTTATAGAATTATAATGAATGTAAAAATGGGCAAGATAATCACATTTGTAGCCTTGGTCTCATTAAAGAAATATCAGAACTAGATTTTTCTACCTGAAGAATGGTATATGTCTCAGTGAAATCATATTCAGTCATTTCCATAGTAATATGGAATTAATAATAAACTGGTGGGACCACAAATAGGCAAAGTAATAGAAAATAAAGAAGCTAAAGTGCTCTCAAATTTAGAATTCAAATAGACAAGCATTTGCCACAGAACACCCCAGACTTAAGAATTGTTGATAAGAAAGACAAAAAAGTCTGGCTAGTGGATGTGGTGATAGCTAGAGACAACAGAATAAAGAGAAAGACCTGCAAATAGATGTAGAACAACTGTGGTAAAAGAAAGCAAAGACAAGTACCTTAGGTGCAATTCCAAAACATCTGGAGCACCACTTGAATACCATCGGCATTGACAAAATCACCATCAGTCAATTTCAAAAGGCAGTTTTACCTGGAACAGCCTACATCCTTTGATGATAACTCTAACAGGCTGGAAAGTGGGAGACTGTGAGTTCAAGTCCTAACTTAATTATGAAAGCCAGTTGGATGATTTTGGACCAATTACTCTCTTTCAGCCTAACCAACCTCACAGGGAAATAGGAAGGTGTGTTGGATGTGTTTGCCATCTTGAGTTATTTGTAAAAATAATAAAGGCAGGATGCAAATAAATAAAATAGAAACTATCAAATAGCATATATCAATCTTAGATCCTTGGGATGGACTAAGTAGGTGGATAAAAATGCCAAATCTGGTATAAACATCTGGCTGACTGTGGCCAATCATCTTATGGAAACATTGTGTTAAGTGTGGTGTGTTGTAAACTTTCTGATATACCTATAAGCAAAAGAATTACAGGTGAAAGTTAAAATATTAGGTCTGAGGTTAGCTGTCTTAGTTCTCCTCTACTCCCATCCCTGGCATTCTGAGATTAAAGTGACCAGAGTATAGAGGACCAGATGATAACCAGTTGAGAAAAAAAAAAAGCATTGCTAGCAGTATGCTACACATAAGCTCCTCACGATCATGTGTTTAGATGTAGTCATATTTTTTCTTATGGAAAAAGGTAATTTTGAGAGTGGTAAGCCTTATGCAGTAAGACATTGATGTTTTGATGTAGTTAGGTCATCTAGAACTATCCTCACTTCCTAAACGTTGATCTCAGTATACTGCAGAAAGATAATTTAGCTGTGCAGTTCAGTTTGCTATAATCAGTCAGATCTAAATTTGTAATTACTAATTTGTTTTATTCAATTCCAAAGTAATTTGAAAGAAAAGTCTAAAGCACAGCTTACTTTAAATAAGTCAACTATTCAGTTTTTCTTTACCTCTTCTTGGAATATTGCAAGGGTCTGCTGTGGCAAGGATTTGCTTTTGTGTTTGCTTCAGTACTGCTCTCCTCTGTTTTGTTTTTCTTTTACCAAATGTTCTTGGCCAGATTATACTCATTTGTATATTCAAACGTTGGGATTATGACTTCAGCAGTCAAGAGAAGACATGCACATTGTATGTTTAAAAGGTCTATTTGCAACTAATGTGGTTGCTTTAGAAAACGTAAGGTGGCCTAAACTTATCCTTAAGGACAATTTTTTCAACCAACAGTTTGCTTTTTCTACTTGGGGGAGGATGGCAAGAAAAATACTATACCTTTTTAAAAAAAAATTCCATGGGACTAGAAAAATAACTCTAGTAAGAAATGGAGGGTGTAAGAATATATACAAAGAACAATAACAACAACACTCTTGAGGGGCTACAGTTTAATTTGACAAAGGGTTCTTCTTCCCGTAGAAAGACGATTTGAAACTTCGCCTTCTCAAAGATCCACTTTCTAGCCAAGGTCATTTGTGGTGAAAAGCAGCATTTATTAAAGATTTGTATATTGCACATTAATGTCCTGAACCAAATTATAGGAAAAAAAGGTTTTTTTCCCCTGAAGATTGCACTATATAAATGTATTTTATTTTCCAGCATGTAGATGTAGCAGCTTTGCTTATAAAGTATAATGCATGTGTAAATGCTACAGACAAATGGGCTTTCACACCTTTGCATGAAGCAGCCCAGAAAGGAAGGACACAGCTTTGTGCCTTATTATTGGCCCATGGAGCTGATCCTACTCTGAAAAACCAGGAAGGACAAACGCCATTAGACCTAGTCACCGTAAGTGATGGGAATTTTTTGAGAAGTTTGTATTAAGCTTCAGTTACTGGCTGCTGACTAGGGCAGCAGATTTGAAAGGTTAAAAACATGTAGTTACCATTGTGGACTACAAGCTCAAGCAAGGACAGCAACTCCATAAATCTTATTGAAGATGGGCATAAGGAATGTAAGTGTAGCTTTTGCAAGTACAGCAAGGGATTAAACAAACAATTATGTGTTTTTAACATTTAAAACTAATCCATGATCCCCAAAACCACATATAAAATATCAGCCATGCTTGCTTTGTTGGAGTTTGAGCAACCTATATGTGCTTTTTGTACAAGATTCATGTTTACTGGGCTATATATGACTTGGGAATCATTAAAGATGCACAAAATCCGTTGATCCACAAATTGTATTTTCAAGAGAACTTAAAAATATTCAGTCCCCTTTGGACCTTGTTGCTCCTGGGGAATTTAGCAGTTTCCGGAAGTAAATCCAATAAAACCAGAAGCAATTTGAGTTATTCCAGCCATGGTGTTCTAGTTTGAAACACCATTCTTGGAATACCATAACCATATGCATGAATAATGTGGTTTTATTTATTTATTTATTTGTTAAAAAATTGTATTAAATTTTAGGAATTAAGAATCTTAAGGCACATAAACATAAGTGCAACAGATTATTTCTAGGACGTATTTTAACCATGTGAAATGAATTTTTGTTTCAAGATGTAATATGTCTTATATCTGTAAACTAAATATATCATGAACATGAACATCTTTGGCTCTATACACCACCACAATGGAGTTGGAATGAAACAAACACAATGTGCTTTAACTGCAGACTGTCAGCTTTAATTTGAGGGTATGTACATCCAACTCAGGTGAACGGGGTACGACTTACAGCAGTTTGCATATGTGCCCCCCATTTGTTAAGGGACCAAAGGTAATGGGACAATTGACTTCTCAGCTGTTTCATGGCCAGATGTGTGATATTCCCTCATTACCCCAATTACAATGTGCAGATAAAAGGCCCAGAGTTCATTTCAAGTGTGCTATTTGCATTTGGAATCTGTTGCTGTCAACTCTTAAGATGAGATCCAAAGAGCTGTCACTATCAGTGAAGCAAGCCATCATTAGGCTGAAGAAACAAAACAAACCCATCAGAGAGATAGCAAGAACATTAGGCGTGGCCAAAACAACTGTTTGGACATTCTCAAAAAGAAGGAACGCACCGGTGAGCTCAGCAACACCAAAAGCCCCGGGAGACCACGGAAAACAACTGTGGTGGATGACCAAAGAATTCTTTCCCTGGTGAAGAAAACACCCTTCACAACAGTTGGCCAGATCAAGAACACTCTCCAGGAGGTAGGTGTATGTGTGTCATAATCAACAATCAAGAGAAGACTTCACCAGAGGGAATACAGAGGGTTCACCATAAGATGTAAACCATTGGTGAGCCTCAAAAACAGGAAGGCCAGATTAGAGTTTGCCAAACAACATCTAACAAAGCCTTCACAGTTCTGGAACAAAATCCTATGGACAGATGAGACCAAGATCAACTTGTACCAGAGTGATGGGAAGAGAAGAGTATGGAGAAGGAAATGAACTGCTCATGATCCTAAGTATACCACCTCATCAGTGAAGCATGGTGGTGGTAGTGTCATGGTATGGGCATGTATGGCTGCCAATGGAACTGGTTCTCTTGTATTTATTGATGATGTGACTGCTGACAAAAGCAGCAGGATGAATTCTGAAGTGTTTCGGGCAATAGTATCTGCTCACATTCAGCTAAATGCTGCAGAACTCATTGGACGGCGCTTCACAGTGCAGATGGACAATGACCCAAAGCATACTGCAAAAGCAACCAAAGAGTTTGTGAAGGGACAGAAGTGGAATGTTGTTGGAATATGAACAGGAAGAGTCATGTGGTAACTCAGTCAGCCAATGGGAAGAAAGTGCTACTGAGTCTGTGCAAAAAAGAGTATTGAGTTAGGAGCTGGATTTCCAGTCTCAAGGTTTTGTCTCTGGTCTGTCTCTGTAAGAAATCTTCATTAAGCTATGTTGCTGTAAAGAAGAATGGTATTGTAAATATTTTATATAAATATAAAGTTATTTGAATCAGCTAAATGCAGTCAACTGTGAGAGCTTCTGATTTATTTTTCACCAATAGAGAAATTAAAATTCTCTAACAGGTTATGGGCCCAGAGCTTACTAAGGACTGCATTGTAATTTAAAGCTGGAAGAAATTGCCTGTGTTTAGAAAGTATAAGAACAAGGCAGAATTAGCAGAATGGCTGCAATGGAATTTAAGGAAAGCTGTGTGCCTCCTTTGGGCCAGAAGAATTATATTGTGTGGGCTGCAAAAATGGAATGTTTGCTGAAAGCAAAAGAGCTGTGGTATGTTGTTGAAAATCCACCACAAGTATTTGCAGCTGCAGATCAGAAAAGCCATGATCAGGCAATGGCTTATCTCATCTTGAATTTAGATGATGCACAATTTCTAAATGTTGCAAATTTAAAGACTGCAAAGGAAATATGGTTGAAATTGAGAGCTATGCACGTGAATGTTTCTGCATGCAATATAGTGCAATTGTCAAGAAAACTTTACAGGGCCTGTTTTCAACCAGGTGAATCTGTGGAACAGCATTTAAATAAAATGCAAAGTTTATTTTTGGACTTAGAACAACGTGGGATTAAATTCCCTGAGTCCCAGAAGGTTTTATTGGTGTTGAACAGTTTAGATAAAACCTGGGACACAGTTTGTGCCATATTTGAGTGTAAAGAAGAGCAAGAACTAAATTTTGAAGCTTTAAAGGCATGTTTGCTTAATGAAGAAGAAAAACGCCATTTTAGAAGCAGCCACGAGGAGGAGGAGAAATTCCTGAGGAGGGGGTCCAGACTGCAAGTCTCCAGAGGAGAAGAAACAAGCAGCTCAGACCCGGACCAAATTGCAACAAAAGAGAGATTTTGCAAGCAGAGAGCAGGAAAAGACTTGCTACATTTGTGGAGAAAAGACACATTTGCAAAGAAATTGTTTGCAGAGGAACTGTTTGCAGAAAAAGATATTTGTGCAAAGAAAAAGGACTGCTTTGCAAAAGGAACATTTTGGTGTTGCAAAAGTTTGCAATAGCAACAACAGAGACAAGTGGCTAATAGATAGTGGGGCAAGTCAAACAATTGTTAATGACTCTGAATTATTTTGCAGGTTTGTTCCAGTAGCACAAGAAGCTGTGGCTTTGGCAAATGGCCAGAAAGCAAAAGTCATTGGAAGAGGCGATGTAAAAATTCCATATTTGGAATCAAAGTTTACCAATGTGCTTTGTGTACCTGAGATGGAACATAATTTGTTAAGTGTGTCTAATTTAGACAAACAAGGTTTTGAGGTCATTTTTGTAAATGGGAAATGTCTCATCAAAAGGAAGGGGAATATTTGTGCAGAAGGCATAAAGGAAAATAATCTATATGTATTGCAGGGACAAAAGGTTCAATGTTCCCATATATTTAAGAATGTTGCAGAGCATGATTCATGTGTTCATCTTTTGCACAGAAGACTTGGCCATGCAAGCTTTAAAGTTTTGCAGCAAATGCAAGATTTTGCAGAAGGGCTAAATTTGAAGGGATGCAAAACATATTTGGACTGTGCAGTATGCAAAGCATCAAAGTCAAAGGCATTCCCAGTTAGTAAATTGTTAGAAGTAAAATCTTCATCCTGGTTCATCCAAGCCGGGAATAAATAAGCAAACATGGCGACTGCTTTGGGAAGAAGGTTACAGTTTATTGCAGAAAGATGGTTCTTCAGGAAAGTGCAGAGGAGAGAGAAGAGAGAGGGGCAGGGAAGATTGAGCACATGGGCAGTAGGTTTTATACCCCCCCTAGCCTTTTGTTTGGAATAATTTCCTGTTCCTGTGGCATGAACCTTGAGGCTGTTTCTGAGTGTTTGTCTAGGCCTTGATATCTGTGGTTTAATTCTATTATCATATCCTGATTCCCAGTGATGGGGCTGACTCCTAGAGTTTGGGTGGGGTATGCAGATCTTCTCTTTTGTCTTCTTGATTGCTCTGGCTCCAACTTTCTGATGGTTTTACATTTGCATTTGTATGGGCCTAGCTCTTGCTTGGGGCAGAGAGATAGATTTGGGGCCAAGTTTGGTTTTAAAAAGTCCTTTTGAGGAAAAATATATTTTTCTGCCCTTTTTAATATTTCCTTCTGGGCTAACTTTCATCAATCCCCCGCTTTGTGCCTTAAGTGTGTAAATTTATGACACACTTATTGGCACAACATTAAAATTGATCTGGTCAGGGAGACTTGGTAGGCAAGCTTTTAAACTGTTAAGCAAAATAATAATAATAAGACATTAATGGAGGCAGCAGAAAAAGATCCCTTTAGTGGCTCCCAAAAGGGGAGCTTGCACCCATAAAGTTCTAAAAGTCAGGGCAAAATTTTATTAAGTGGAAAAGAAATTTATAGTGTCCAATATTCTGTGCCAATCATTTTCAAATGTTGGATATCACCTTTAGCTTCCAGTCAGGTTTGCATACCCCCCAAAATTCTTCACCGCCATGGTTCTCCTTAGTACATGACCACTGGCTGCCCAATTTCAATGGTTGTTTCCTGCCTTAGCTCTTAATTCAGTGCATCCAGGTTTGTAATGTCCAATATGCCAGGCTATTAAATTTTCTTTAAATTGCACATAATGAGCTCTAGGGATCCCAATCTGAGCCCAACAGTGCAAAATATTCAGGGCATAAGTTTGGGATTTTTCCTGTTGCTTCCTTAGTCAGGGCATATGAATTGCAAATCACCTGAGGGGGCCTAGTTCCCTCCCCCTTGGAATCTGTTGGAAGTTGGTCCCACAAAGCTTTGGTGCAATAGAGCAAAAATCAGCCTGAGGAACTTTACTAAAGGTAGGTGGAGGGGATAGACTCTGAATGGTGTGAATGGTGTATGTGTGCATATGCAGCTATTTTTACAAAATAGTCAATACAAACATTCTGGATCAATTTTCCCTCCCACCAG